AGCCTGCTTTGTGTCACGTGAGGCAGATGACTGTGTCCAGCGTTTTCAGTTTAAAGTCATTTTATGACTTGCTGGTGGGTAGGTGGTCCCTTCTGTTCAAAAGAGCACATGAAGCTCTTCACAGAGCTTGCTATGGAGAGAAGAAATCTACACAAGGAAAAACAAAAGCCTAAACACACTGTCCCATAATCCTCTGAGCAAGTCAGTGCACTGCATGACTGCGTCTCAATTCTCTGATGTTGGATAGGAAATGGAAACTGTTATGGAAAATTATTTTAAGGTGGGTTACTTTTGTTTATGTTGTATTTAACTCTGTGAAGCTGTGTTCAAACACCTGACGGTCTAATAAAGAGCTGAAGAGCCATAGAAGGCAGGAGAGAGAAACAAGCGGGGTTGGCAGGCAGAGGATAAATATGAGGAGAAATCTGAGAGAAAAAAGATATGGAAATGAGAGAGGAAAAAGGAGGACTTCAGGGGCCAGCCAGATGCGGGGTAAGAAGGAAAGAAATGGTATACAGGAATAGAGAAAGATAAAAGCTCTGAGGCCAAAGAGAGATGGGATAATTTCAAAAAAGCTGGAAAGAAACAAGCCAAATTAAGGCTGGGCATTGAGAACTAAAAATAAGCCTCCATGTTGATTTACTTGGGAGTTCGGTGGTGAGTTCCCCAAAAAGCCTAAAGAGTAAAGGCAAAAACACCAACAGCCGACACCATCTGCCCTATGTGGTTGACACAGAAGCAGCATTGTGCTCGGACCGCAAACGCCCCTCCTCGTTATAGTAAGCAGTCAGCATGTCTAGGACACAATTTTGAAGTACAACAGAAGTTAACCTACAGTTGCCATGCTTCCAAGGCCTGTGAGATCGTACCGAATCTTAATCCCTTTACTGCGGAAAACTCTAGGATTTGCTTTTTCTAGACTGTAAGTTTACAGGTTTAGGGAAGGGTCCTCGTTACTGAATGGAACCTGCGGTCACACTACATGAGGATTGTCACTATGTCTGTCCCGAATCATCGCCATGTGACATTCATTACCTTTTGCATGAAGAAACCCAGGTTTTCAACTGGCTAGCCCTGGAAGAGAGGTGCCTGGTGAGGGACACCACACAGTATCTATGTCACCTTGACCATTTAGGCAAAACCCTCTACCTACCTTATGTCAACAATGAGCCCACTGTTGCTTACAGGCCAGGGAAAGTGGATCCTGTGGCCCACCAGGTTATATGGTCTGATGGCATCAGTCATGGTTGCATCTGCATGACTTCACTTCCAATGCTCCTAGAAGAGGAAAGACGGCAGGCCACAAGACACCTGCAGACAAACCTTCAGTTTGGTCTTAGTAACTGTGCAGGCATGTTATACTTCATGACCAAGCCATATCAGTCGATGTTCTTATCCATCTACAATCATGGGTACAGAACTTAGACCATGGAACCCAATATGGACAAGTTCAACAGAACTGCCATTATACAGGCTGCCTATGCATGCTTCAGCATTGCCAGGGCATAAATTTCATTCATTTCTGTAGAGGAACAGAACCAAAAAAGACATCGCACTAAACCATATGACTATTGTGCAAGTATATATACATACATATATATATATATGGCATTTATTAGCTTGGCTTGTGGGCTCTGGTCCAGCTAGTCCAACAATGGCTATCTACCACAGGGCTGGCAGGCTTTAATGCTGGTGGAGGAATAGATTGGCCAGTCAGAGTGAGTGCAAGAGAGCGAACTTCCTCCTTCCCTGTCATTTATACAGGCTCTCACCAGATGAAAGGTGGATCTTCCTACCTTAAAAGATCCAGATTAAAAGTGGGTCTTCAGGGTTCCCTGACCTGTGGGAAGTCCAAGGACCACCCACCTCCATCCAGGTCTAGTAAGGTGAACATCCAAACTGCCTAGGCTCCCCCAAAGCCAGTACGTGCAGTAGGATCAAAAACCCATTGCCATTGTTCTTGAGTTCTCAGTAGTCTTCATTGTCTGATGTGGGAGTGTCATATATCAATCTGTTGATTTCATTGGTTAAGCAATAAAGAAACTCCTTGGCCCTGATAGGTTAAAACATAGGTGGGAGGAGTAAACAGAATAGGATGCTGGAAGGAAGAGGAAGTGAGCTCAGACTCGACAGCTCTGGTCTCTGGAGCAGAGGCCCTGCTTCGCTCTCCTGGGCATCCGTGATGAAGCTCCGACCCAGGATGGATATAGGTTAGAATCTTCCCGGTAAGCGCACCTTGGGGTACTTACACACATTATTAGAAATGGGCTAGTCCAGGTGTGAGAATTAGCCAAGAAGAGGTTAGATAGAAATGGGCCAAGCAGTGTTTAAAAGAATACAGTGTCCGTGTAATTATTTCGGGTAAAGCTAGCCGTGTGGGCGGCCGGGGTGTTGGGGATGCAGCCCCGCCGCTCCTATTTCAACAATTGTCCACTATGTTCAGCAAGTCCGGTTTTATCCCATGCTTTTTCAGACCCAGGGCAGCTGGCCTTGGTGAGTTCCCGAACCCTGATTGCTCTTCAGGCTGAGGACGGAGGGGGACTTGATTGGGGGAGGGGGAGGGAAATGGGAGGCGGTGGTGGGGAGGAGGCAGAAATCTTTAATAAATAAATTAAAAATAAAAAAAGAAATGGCAGTAAGGAGAGGATGCTAAGGAGAGGAAGGCTAGACATGATGCTTTGGGACTCATTTTCAAAGAAGTAATGGTTGGGTCAAGGGGTTCTGATGTCATGGAAGAAAACGAAATTTAAAATGGGAAGAACTTTAGGAATTCAATTAATTAAAACTCTAATTGCATTTAAAAAATAAAAAAAAAAGTGGGTCTTCCCACTTCAAATCATTTAATTAAAAAAAAAAAAAAACTCTCAAAGGTGTGCTAGCTGCTCGGCTTTATATTGATTCCAGGTGTAGTCAAGTTGACAACTACGAATAGCTATCACAGGGTCAAACCACGTCTCCTACTCAGGGTATTTAGATGTTTGGAAGAGTTAGCATAATAATTCTGCAATTTCAAGTCCTTGACTGATTTTTCCTAGAGTTCTATTGCTTTGTCCTACAGTGCTGCCCTTGGGGGAGGGAGCGAGCAGGCTCGGGGTCAACAGCATGGGCTCTGGCAGACAAGCTGAATGCAGCAGGCTAGTTCGTTCAGGAAGGGGAAGCAGCAGCACTGGCACCAGGCCATCTGTCATGGCAGCTGGGGGCTGGTTCAGGTCCTCCTGTCTCATGGCTCAGCAGCTGTTGCTGGGGCCCCTTGGCAGACCTAGGTTGGCTCATTTGGGGGAAGTAAACGTACCACACGTTCAGATAGTCAGTTTAGTCTGGTTTAGGCCGGTTTAGGCCTGTTGACCCCCCCCCCCCCCCCCCCGAGTTCTTTTTAATGCACATAGTGAGGTGGTCAGAGAACCTGAAGGAATGGGTTCTCCCCTTCCACCATGGGGAATTCTGGGATGGAATTCAGGTCTCTAGGGTTGACAGCAAGTGCCATAGCACTGAGATGGCATACACTTGCATGTCAAGACACAAGAGGCCTTAAATGGCCTAAGGAGAATTTCTTCTACACTCTCTGCTGACCGGGAAAGGTTCCAACCAGCCCTCTTCAAGGAGCTGAGGTATTCTTGAGTCAGAAGTTCCTAATCCTTAGTCTAGTCTTCAAAAGTTGGCTGGGAAAGGGAGAATCCATTCACCTCAGCAATCTGGTCTGTGGGAGTCTACCCTTACTCCAGGAGATAATCACACACGTGCGCACAGAGGCAGGCCTGAGCAGACTCAGTGGGTCTGGAAAGAGAGAACATGAAACTGAGAAGATGTGGGGAGGGGATGGGGAAGGATTGAAGGGGAAAGAAAGAGGGGGAAGATTTGATCAAAGATTTCATTATATGAATGTATGAAATTCTAAAACAAAAAAAATAACACACTAGAAACAAAGAGAATGAGATTATAGATCTGATCTGCTATCCTTTGTCTCCCAGTGCATTAGCTCTGGTTATCCCCCAAATGGGGAATAACTGGTTGTCCTGATGATACCCATCACTGTGTGGAGCGAACATAGCAAGCTCCTACTCCATCTCCCAGTTCAAAAAATCCATTTAACATATTCTCTTGAATAGAGGTATCAGATATTAAACTGATCAGAACAGATACCACACTTGTGATGACATGGATGAACCCGGAGAAGTTTGTACGTAAGCCAGGACAGTCACAACATAACCCATACGCGGTGGCTTGAGTGGTCACTCTTACAGAGCAAATGGCATTGACCTGGGGTTGGGGGATAAGTGTGTTTCACACCAACGCTGAATTTTAACTTAAAATAGTTTTAGATGGTAAATTTTGTTCTACATTTCTTACTACAACATACAATTGCTAAGACAAAATTAAAGGCTCCTTAATTTTTTTCCTTAAGCACTGACCCAGGAATTTCCAAATTTCTAGCATAAAAGACTTCGGGTTACTGAAGACTAGAAGCTACTATGTCTCTTCCCTGTCATTTACTGTCTTAATCCCACAAGAGCAGGGTCAGGGCCTGAGCTGTCGTTCCTTTTCCCCACACAGCCTAGTCGCAGCCTTCTCAGGGGCACACTCTGTGCAAGCCTTTCTACCCCATCACTCTCAGCTTTGCCCTCCTGAACCCAGGCAAAAGTGGGCCTCGTGGCCTTGGGACCACAACTGTGGCAACACGGAGGTGAGTTCAGCATTAGTTGGAACAGTATTTACCTTCAAGTCCATGGCAGAATGTAATGAACGTGGAGTCCCACCCACCCCACAATTTGCAGATCCTGTACAGAAAAGGGCTTCCCTTCCTTGAATGCTCTAATCAAGAAAACGAAAAAACAGGAAGAATTGGAAGACCCATATGACCATGCCCATTATTGATCAAAACTGAATTCTCCTACTGGAAACAAAAGGGAAGAGAATAAACAGAAAGAACAAAAGCAACACAGGCAGGCAGAACTTCCTCTCACTTTCTTGGCTTCTTCAAACAGATCCAAAACTCAGAAGAGTATGTAAATTCCAGTTTATTGTAGGTCCTCTTTATTTACAGTACAAGTCTCTAAAAGGCTAGGGTTATCTTTAAATAATATGTCAATCATATAAAACAGTTGGAAACAAGGTTAGAGAAATATATACATTTCAATACATTAAGTACTTTTAATATTGAGTTTTTCATATTAAATTAGGAGGCTACTGTGATTTACAATGTTATTTCTTCTGGTTTAAAACCTGTTGAAAGACATTATGTACATCTTCCTTTATAAAACTGACAACGCAGCATTAACAAAACTGCTCATAATTATAATTTTCATTTTTTTCCTATAATACACTGCACCTATTACAAAAACAACCAAAAGGGGGGGGGGGGAGGGAAGGCATTGCACTAGATATTTTGAATACTGCATGTCACTTTGAGAGCATGAATGTCCTGGTCAGACTTCACCAGGCTCACTGGCAACGGTTTTCACACTGGAAACTCAGCTAACTTTCTACAGGCTAAGAACTCTCCTTGGCATTTCCAAGAAGCCCACTGCTGATGGTTAAAGGGCCAAAACAGCCAGCCACAGAGCTGTCACACGAGCCAATGCTGGTCTGAATGACCCTGTTATGTATACTGATGCTTAGATTTCTGTAGGACTTAAGCACCCATAAAGCACAAAGAAGACTACAAAGGGACTCACAACAGCTCACTTCTCCTTTCTTCCCTCGGGCAGAGAAAAAAAAAAAATTAAGCCTCTTCTAATTTTTTAACAAAATTTTATAATATCAAAAAGCTTCACATTTATAAATAAGTTTTTTATACAAAGCAACATGTTGACATAATTCTCTCATGTTACTATCAGTTACTTTGGAATTCATTTTATAGTCTGAGCATGAGATTTCTTCCTTATTCACAGCTTTTCAACATTAAAAATTCTTTGGGCCATGAAATGAAGTTCAGGAGGAAATCATTCATTCAATTGAAAGCATTTGAAATACTGCATAAACATACATATCCATGGCAGCGGCTCAATGCAAGCAGCCAGGAGTCACACACTTGTATCTCGCAAGACAAATCAATTCTGCAATTCCCCTTCATTAACACCAGCCAAACATTAATTTTAAAAGGACAAGTCAAGCTTTCAAAGCAACAGTCTTGCCTTAGAAAGTTTAGTTACCAAAATACCAGAGGCAACAATACTTTAAAAAGCAAAATTGCTTTTCAAGTCAGGGGCAAGAGAGGATGGACACACCGTTCTCCTGTCAGGGTTACTGCCCTCCCTGGAGCTCAGCTATGTGCACTGAACTGAAACCAACAAGAAAAACAGAAACAACCACACAGCAGGGAAAGGCATCAGTACAGTCCCAGAGGAAGTGGGGAGGACATACAGCCCTAACCAATCGGACAGAAAGAATGAACAGAGCTGGCATTTCAAACCAGACATGAAAGCCTTTGTTTCTGGATGCACAGAAGTAGCATACAACGCAATCTTCATGTCTGTACAACTCCTTTACTGACCTTTAACATCACAACTAGACTCTCCAGTGTTTGGTCCACCTTCACAAAGAGCAGATACAAGACTGAGAGGCTGAGGCTTAACGTCAGGCAGAGGTACGCCCTTATTCAACTTGCTATGAATTCAAAACTAAAGCTCTCAATAAACAAACAGCTAGCTACCACTTCACTCTCTACAGTAAACTTGTCAAACGTGTGCCTAGTTCAGGTGCAGACTATTCTATGTAGCACAATACATCCAGCCTCTTTTTTTTTCTCTGAATATTGAAGTGTTATTAGAGGAAGTTTGAAGAAATTGAATTACAACTTTATAAATGTCCAAATATCCTTGTCACATAAAAGCCAAGAGGAAATGTTCACATATTTTTTATTATTTTCTGGGGTGAAAGCATCTCATAGCTCGGGATTCCTAGTCACTTAGACAAGACTGCTGGTTAGTAACATGGTCCTTAAATAGGAATAACTTCACCTCTCAGCATTTCTCAGCAGCACTGGTCAGTGTGGTAAAAACTTAAAAGTGAGAATATCCACAGTGAAACCTTTTAACTTTATAGATCCCACTAAACTGCTAACAGTGTTGAAAGATACTTTACCACTATAAAACAAAACAATTATTCCTTCTCACTCAGTTTTTTAGATTGGGTCTAATCTATCTTTTACTATCAAAACATCCTTCATTATTAATTATTCAGTTTGGGATTCAGTGACTACAATTCATTTCCTGTTCATTCTGTTTCCCCAAAATTAGAGAAAAATCCAGACTATAAATGCACATGCAGGTTAAGTGCTGTCTGGCACATTACACAGAAGTTTTAAACAAGCTCCTTAAAGTGCTCTAAGAAAGCCTTTAAAGCTAATGGTTATAGGCTCTTACCACCCGCAAAAAGATAGATGATAAAGCCTCAAATACAATTAAAAACAAGGTGAACTGGAGAATACAGAGTATGACAGGATTCCCAGTTTAATCAAATTCCTAATAAAGCAAGCACCAATCTTGGCAATTAGTGCAGTAAATAAGAACTTTCCTAAATATTTCAGAAATTATAAGTACACACATAGGAAACATAAAATGAACTAAGCAAGTCTATAAGTCTCAAGGAAAAAGTGTCAAATGTGATGTCAAAGAGGCGCAGTCGACCAGACAAGCTACAATCTATTAGATAGTCACAATCTATTAGATAGATAGTCACGGTCTACCAGACAGTCACAGTCTATCAGACAGCTACAATCTATCAGATAGTCACAGTCTACCAGACAGTCACAATCTATTAGATAGATAGTCACAGTCTACCAGACAGTCACAATCTATTAGATAGATAGTCACAGTCTACCAGACAGTCACAATCTATTAGATAGATAGTCACAGTCTACCAGACAGTCACAATCTATTAGATAGATAGTCACAGTCTATCAGACAGTCACAGTTTACCAGACAGCTACAATCTATCAGAGAGTCACAGTCTAACAGACAGTCACAATCTATTAGATAGATAGTCACAGTCTACCAGACCGCTACAATCGATCAAAGAGTCAAGGTCTACCAGACAGAGCTTTATTCTTTAAGCAACTGAGTTAGTAAGCATGACAACTCAATTTCTTACCCTACACACGCATCTGCAATCACAGCCCCTGGAGAAGAACCTGTATCTAACTGTAGGTTTCCCGCTTTACAGGAGGCTAATTTCAAGTAGCAGAAGCAAAGTTCAATTCACGGGGCTCTTACCCTGCAGTTACCAGCAGTCTAAACAAAGTCTGTGGGCAATCACAGAACTGAAGGTCTTTGTGTTCAGTGACAGACGAGACAAAGAAATAAACATGTCATACGGCTGGGTCTCTTGCTCAGATCCATGTTCCTTCACAGTCTACTTCAAATCATCTGCAGAATTTCAGCAATTCAGATCCAACCCTGTCCAGTGGTCCGGCACCATTAGGAAATATTTGTCCATTGCTTCACAAAATCTAGTCCTATACAACTCTGGAGAGACCACAGTTGGCATTTTACCTAAGACAATGAAAGACAAAAAGAGGAATTAAAAAATTAAGTGTATGAGCATATAAAAAATAAATAAATCGGGCAACTGAATTAACAACCATGAACTGCTATATGCCAAAGCACTCAGGGTATCTGCTCTGATATCTGCCACAGATAGAGTCTTTCTCAGATATGAGTTCTTCTCCTCTTAAGAGAACAGATAACTAAACTCAGGAATGAACTAGAGAATCTAGAAGATACCAAGTATTAATTAAGGTCAATCCTTTATTCAGAGTCTCTAGCTTTTAAAAAACTTCTTACTTTGAAAAAAAAGTCATAAATCCAGTATTTCCCTACTTACATACATCTTCACATTAAAGTCATTTTAGAAAAATCAAAGATATCCACATTAAGTTTTTGTTTTACTTTGCATGTAGAAAGGGGGTCTTCCATACCCAAAGCTGGCCTTGAACTCAAGATGCTCATACCTTAGACTCCAAAGCACTGGAATTACACCACCATGCCTGGTAACCATGTTTCATAAGTATCCAAGGAATATGTGAGGACAGTTCAAATAGTAAACAAAGTAACATTTTCTCACCTTGTCCTCCTAAAATTCCTGTTGATTTCACAACCATCTCAAGCTTTTTGTCCCATGTAAATGTTCGAATATAATCTAGGGATGGAAAGAGGGCAACACGAGCAGAAGAGCTGTTGTGAGCGTAAGCCAGAACAGTAGCAATGCTGTTACAATTTCCACGGCACCACTGCTAGTGCTGTCCAAAGAGCTGTCCCCACATTACTCTGGTTAATTCGTACAGCATGACACAGAGCCTCCTTTTCAGGCGGTTGTCATTACCTTTTAATTTATAGATTTTTGGAAATGAAAAAACTGAATAGAACAGACTAGAATGAAAACTTGTTTGTTAACTTTGAAATTAGAAATGAAAGCTTCCTAAAGTATTCAGTGATTATGATACTAAGCCAGTTCAACAGGCTCTCTGAAATTTTACTCCAGTTTTAACCACAAGCTATAAATAGGGTACAATTATTGACTTACCTATGATTCCAACTACCAGCTCATTGCTAGTGTCATCTCGACCAACCAGCAAAGAATAGTCTATAATGAGGTGGCTTGAAAGGAAATGGGCGTCACTATGGATGGAGGTTCTCAGCACAGATTTGGAATGGGAACGAATATACAGAGGGTTGTCACGAACCATCTTTAGGAGGTTTTCGTCCAGCAGAACTACATCACAACTCTCTTTCCCAGTGTCAGTTTTTACATTTCGATTCCTAAGTGAACCTTTCAAATCAAAAACCTACCAAAACAAAAATGCTTTATTATTTATGTGCAAATTTGCTACTACAATTAATTAGTGCAATTAAAAGACAAAAGATTCCTTGTAGTTACTATCATAATATGCCCTTCTAAATTTTATTTCAAAATTTAACTTTATTATAACTATAACTAATTTAATTATATATTTAGCTATATAAATATAACTAATTTAATTTATAAGTATACAGTGATATAATTATGTAATACAAAAAGTACATGGTATATAATACATTAAATTCATGGTGACACAATTATATCATATAAAACAATATACTAGCACTCATTATTAAAACAGTTCAGAAATAATCTGTGAATTTAACCAATTTAAAATATATTAACAAGTTTCAGATCGTCCAATGGTATGAAAGAAGACTTAGGAAACTTTATACAATCACTTAAATTAAATATATTTAATTTAGACATTAAAACTCTATACAATCACTAAAGGCAAGGCACAAGTGGGAACATAAATTTCAGAATATCTGAACGATAGGAATGTCAAAGAACTGGATGACTAGAACCAGTCCATCCTAGAGTGTGTTCTACAGACCAGCGCTAGCCAGTCAGCCCTGGCTCATGAAGATGTTACAGCTAGTGGCAGAAGGTAAAGGCATTAGGCACCCAGTGTAGCTCAGTCTGTGTTCTCAAAGACATTCTCAGTGACATACTGTCTTCACACTAGACAGAGGTCAGGGAGCAGCATCTCAGAGCACTGTGAAGTCTAGACCAGGTGCCTAGTTAGCAGCAGCAGGAATGTCACTCTCACGACATCTAGACCAACATGAAGTCTAAAATCAGCCAAGTGACTGACAGGTGCTCAATCTTTGTAGGGCTCAGCTAATTCTATTCTAAAGTTAAGATGGTAGGAGGGCATCTGTCTTCTTAGTCCACCAGCTACCTGATTCTAAGATAGGAAATGTTAAATTTTAAAATGAGATATATACCAACTTTTCTTTCTTCCAAAAGTAAGTCAAATGTGCACTACTGACTAACGTAAGATGTCCTCATAGTCAAATGTGTCACACAATGTCCTCACCTGTGCCATCTTTCTCCCATAGAAAAGATTTTCCATGACAAGGAGATCTAACTTCTTCTCAGTGTTGTTTTGAGAGTTCTTATAACCAATTCTGTAAACTCCAAGAATTTTGGCCAAAGCAGTAGGCCTCTAGTCAAAAAGAGATCAAAATAAACTATTACCAAAATAAGATTATCTCTAAGTCATATAATATCTGGTTTGTCCATGTAATAGCCAAGAATGGTTTTCTACTAATATACCAGGAATAGGTACTTGAAATTCTTCAATGTCAGAAGTTGCATGCCAGTAACAATAGTAGATCCTTAAATTATACAACAGGATAGCTAGTCCTTCACAGCTGTTCAAATTCAAAAGCTTTATCATCACATGAACATTATTTACCCTAATAATCTGCAATACATTATTACTTGACAACAACCATAAAACCCTTCATAATTCCTTCATTAAATATTCACGGTCACTGATCAATGACAAGTGAGCAAACCCAAGCTACTGTTTTGCTATAAGAAAAGTACCTCCTCATTACTCAACAAAAATACTATGTCTTTAAATGGACACCTAATAGTCTCATATTTTACATTAACTTACATATGTATGTGGGTATGTACACACCAACCAAAAGCTAATTGTTTAAGGCTACAGGGTTCCTCAATGGCAGAGGTAGGGAAAACAGATATCTAAAGACTGCATTCCTACACATCACAGTAGAATAAAAGATTCCAGGCACGCCCTGCTCTTATCTTTCCACAGAGAAAGCTTTGTGAAGCCCAATGCACTGTAACTGCAAACAAGATTCAGGATTTCTACCTTTTGCTGGACAGCATTTGTGATGTAGTTGAAGTAGTGTGGCGCAAAGTCCAGGAAAGACTGAACTTCCAGACGAGGCATCTGCTTCAGAATGAATCTATCATCTACAGGAAGAAATCCACATTTATTCATCACAATACATATTGTCTGCTATAAAATGAAAGATAACACAAATCACTTGTTTATTTTCTGTTTCAAGGTTTTTTTAACCACACTCTGAAAATTTTGATCAGAGAGCAATTACCAAGTAATTAAAATATTCAGAGTCCTAATGATTATATGGACTAACACCCACTACTCAAATCTACCCTCAAATCTAAATTCATAGCATAAATTCATTTATTTACTTTTTATAACTCTCAAAGAATGCTTATTAACTCCACTGCTACTTCAATAACTCTTGAAAGTCATTAAAGTTTTTATGAAGTCACAAATGTCACTGTCTTCAATAATTTTGTGTTCGGTGGGTATTATGTTAGGTAAGCCTGTATAGGAAAGAACTTGGCCTTTGTATATTCTGGCCAAACATCTCTACTGTTCCTTTTCTATCTTCAGTTCCATGGCACCCAACTGAGTTCCCCCAGGCTGTTTGCTGTGGTCTGAATCTGAGATATCCCCCACCAGCCCCATGCTTTCAAGCTTGTTCAGTCTGCTGACCCTGCTAGGAAGGGGTGAGGCTTTAGGAGGCAGGCCCAGCTGGAAACAGAGAAAGACTTTTCCTTTACCCCAGCCTCACTTTCTGCCTCCTGTCTGTGATGATGTGAATAGCTAGCAGCCACCACATGCTCCCTCTGCCAACCACTCAGGAGCTGAACATGAACTGAAATAAATCTGCCCTCCCTTAAGCTGTGTCTGCCAGGCATCTGGAGTGTAGTTATAGACAATAACCAATGGAGTTTCCACATAGATCTGAAAACTCAGACCATGTCTCAGCCTATCTAGTCTTTGAAGATGTTATTACTCTTCTCAGGAACAGAAAGAACCTAGAGGACTTTGTTTGCCAACTGTGAATATATAATACCCACTTCAAGTGTGTCGTAAACCATCTCAAGGCAAAGAACAGCAAGTGTTTGCACTAGTGAGTAAACAGAATTACCTTCCGTGGCGTAGAATGCAGCTCCTGACTTGCCTCCCCGGGCCTGCCAGGGTGAGGAGTGAGAAAGGGAGCGGATAAAATCTTCCTCACTGCTCCCCAGAACCACCTCCCGCATCTTATGAAACTCTCCCGCGTAGTACAGCCGACAGTAAAACTTGGCATTTGCATCCGAAAATTCTACAGAGTTGAAAAGATTAAGAAGAAAAAAGGATATAAACAGAAAATTTCTTACCTCTCCAAGTACCAGAAATAATGAAATAAAAATCTGGCCAATCACAACTGTGTTGTGTCAAGCTTCATATATCGGAACACCATCTGACCATCAACTCTAAGTTCTGCTCTGCTTTTACACAGGGACTGTATTTTCTTCACTGCATTTCTAAAGCAGTTCTTAAACGTCAGCTCTTATGAGCATACAGTCATATGGCAGTGAGGACTGAAACCAGGGCCAAAACATGCTGGGCGAGCATGTCATCCCCACCCCAAATAAACACTAATGATGTCAAGCTCTGCGCCTCTCAACTACATAGTAAGAAAATATTTCAACTTTAGAAATTAAAGTATAATTTATTATAAATTACAATTTAAATAAAGAAAATAAATAATACAGATTTTATAAATTGAAAACTCATACCAATACCTAACATTCATTTAAAAGAAAATCAGTACATTTATCTAGAATGAAGTTACACATCTTAGTTAGACAAAATGTTAACTGCACACTTACGAAGTTCCACATGAGGATTTGTGAGTTGTTTTTTCTGTGTGTCTCCTCCATCTATCTCATCTAAAAGATTCAATATCATTTATAAAAGCAAAGCATTAGACTTCATTTTGTCCTTTTTCCAAATATAGCAACAAAAGTTAGCAGATTAATAATATAAATATCCTAATCAAATCACTATAAAATATGCATTAGACAGACAAATTATGTAAATGACTACAATAAAAATGTATGCTCTATCCTGGGATTTAAATATTTCAGATTGGATCACTTTTCTTACATATAAGTGATTTCTGTGACAGCAATACAGTAAACTCAAGCTTTTACACCAAGAATTCCCAAGGCTTTTCACCCCTGTTTACGAAAGATTTTTTTTCTAGGCTCATATGTGTGTGTGTGTGTGTGTGTGTGTGTGTGTGTGTGTGTGTACACATACTTCTTTGATATATTAAAGTCGTTTTCTCTTTTTGCATTAGACTCATCTTCCTGGCCAGATCCACTGTGTTTACTGTTAGTATTCAGCCTTCTGTAAGGCCTGACCTTGGGGTCCATGTCCTCAGCTGCAGCCACTATAGGCATCTCCTGTGCACATTTACCGCACTCCCATCTCACCCTCTCTCTCTGTCTCTGTCCCTCTGTTCTCTCTTCTCTTCTGCTACTACTGACCCCAGAAGCCGGTCTCCCCGTCCCCTGCCTCCTTTCCCATCCACTGTCCCCCAACAGAATATCCCTCCCTCCACCTGAGTTCTCTCTCACGCCACTTTTTTTTAAATTACAACATTTACTATAAATACGAAACACATCCTAAAGTCTAAAAGAACAAACCATCCCCTAAGTCTCACATTTCAGAACCATTTATTAGGCTTCATATCCCTTCATATCCCTCCAAGGAGCACAGTACAGACACCTACAGACCAGCAGTAACATACAGAATATTAAACATGTAAAAACAATTTATCAGTTGCTATGTTTTTGTTTTGTTTTTCTTAGTTTTGAAATAGGGTGACCTAAACTGGCCATGAACTTAAAATCCTCCTGCCTCAGCCTCCTGAGTGCTAGGATTATATAGGTGCTGTATACCACTAAGTCAATCTGCAGTTTTGAGTTTTTTTCTTTTTTATATACAATATATGTTGATCACATTCTTTCCCCTACCCCAACTCCTCCCTACCCACCTGACTTCAGCTCTCATGTTCTTGCCCTCTTTCTCAAAAAGAAAAAAAAAAAAGACATGAAAGTCAAAACAAAAATCTAAGAAGACAAAAAAATCCTAAGAGAAAATATGCACACATACAAAAACAAAACAAAGAGTCTGTAATCTGCTTTCTGTTGGCCAATTACTCCTGGGCATTGGGTCTGCCCTAGTATGTGGGTGATAAACCCAGAGACACTCCATTGGCAAGAACTGATTTTCCTTTCCCAGCAGGAATCAATGACTAACAGTTTGTTGGCTAGGAAATAAACAGCCATCTTACGGGACTGGGGAAGAAGAAAGCATGTGGAGGACATAATGGGTAATGAAAAGATGAATACATGTTATGAATTATGTTTACATGTATAATGCCACTGAGCCCTTAGAAGACTTTGCTTTTGCTTCTTTATAGGTATGGACACTAAAGCTTTCTGATTCTAGCACACAAAAAATAACATTGCAGACCTCTGAAGCCAAATGGACTCTTCAAGTATCATGCTGTTCCTGGTCTATTACACAAAACTGAAGAAAATAAATGAAGACTAAAAATAAGCCCATGCACCCCACTTAGCATACCTTGAGGCTCCCCGCCTTGGGTCTCCGTCCCCTCTCTGCCGGTCTGCCCCACCTGGTAGTAAGCACTGTCAGCCCCACGTAATGTCTCCCTCTTCTGAGAAGAGAGATCAGGGCTCCTCCCTGATGTTCCTCTGAAGAAGGACAACATTCCTGAAGCTTTTTTGGCTTAAAAATAAAAGGCAACACATTAACTTAGAGGTAGGTCACTAACGGTGGCAGTAATCAGGCATGAAGCTAATGGTCTGCGTTACGCAGATATTCTTGTTTACAGGTTTTAATTCCACATGCTGATGCGTTTGTAAGTCAGTGAGCACCCTCATCAGAAACAAGGCAAAAACATTTGGCTAGTTGAAAGTAAAATGCGAGAAATTCTCCAGAAAGCCAGACAAAACTCTTGGTTAAGCAATAGCAAGAATTATCACAACATTCTTAAAACACTGCAGTAAAAATCAACATGAAACAATTTCATAAGCTAAAAGAATTCAGAGCTAAAAGGTAACGTCTTTGTATCTTTGACACTCTGTATTGTTCTAATATTTATTTTCTTATTTTATGCATATGGCAATTTGCCTGCATACACGTACACCACGTTCATGAATTCCTGAAGAAGCCAGAATCCCCTAGAACTGGAGTAACAGAAGGTTGTTAGTCATGACGTGGATGCTGGAAATCAGACCCACGTTCTCTGGAAGAAACACCAGCGCTCAACCCGTGAGCCAGCTTTCAGTCCCTATGTTCTGTATTTTAACAGAGGAAAACATTTTGTGCACAGAATCTTTCAAAATAAATAAAGAAAGAAATAGGTATCGTACTTCACAGGGGGTTGGAAAGACAAGAGAGCAGCTAAGAGCATCATCCTGCTCTAGCAGAGGACCTAAGGTCTGTCCCCAGCGCCCACACCAGACAGCTCAAAACTGCCTGTAACTCCAGCTGGAGATCTGACACCTTCTTCTGACTCAGTGGGCACCTAAACCCAAAAGCACACCCCTACAAAGACACACACACATAATTAAATAAAATAGGTGCTGGAGAGAGGACTCAGCAGTTAACAGCACACATTGCTCTTCCAGGAGACCTGTATTTGGTCCTCAGCACCCATGTTAGGCAACTATGAGCTCCCTGTAACTCCAATTCTAGGGATCTGACATCCTCTTCTGTCCTCCAAGGAGACACACACAGCATACATAAGTAAACAGACATGTACATGAAAAAATAGTAGAAATAAAATATTTTTTCATTTTATTTTAATGTGCATTGGTATTTTGTTAGGTCCCCTATAAGTGGAGTACCACCGCTGCACACCGCCGTGCAGGTGCTAGGAGCTGAGCCTAGGTCATCTAGAAAAGTAACTATGAAAAGCAGGCAGGGCACTCAGCCATAAAGCCATTCCTCCAGCCGCAAAAAATAAAATCTTAAAAAAATTAGCATATATAAAATTTTTAAAAAGTATCCTAGAATGACAAGAATGTATACTTTTTTTTTTGTTTACAGTTTTTAATTTCATTCATCATATTAATATGTGTGATTCTAACAGTATCACTTACAAAATCTACAGAGTATCAATCATAAAAATGCTTAATACCCACTGGTGCATAAGGCTTTGCTAGCAGAAATGCAATTTTTGTGGGTATAAGCATGTGTAGAGACCCAAAAAACTGGATGGTGGTTCATATAAACACACCAGGGCACTGGAGCTCTGACTTCCTCAGTCTCTGTAGAGTCAGAGGTGGCTGGCTCTAAGCCTGGGTCCTGACAACCAAGTCTGAAGGGCACAGATGCACCCTAATAATAAAGGAGCACAGATACACCCTACACCACCCTTCTCTTTGCTTCAGCAAAAATTTGGAATATTGTTTTAATTTAAAGGAAATGAGAAAAATAAAAAATCCTCTCTTGTCATTGGGCAGATCAACACCAGCAACTGACTGCTGCTGGTGCCAGTCATTCGTAAGGCTTTGCAGTCACTTCAGCTTCCTGGTCCTACCAACCACAAAGCATCAGCAAACACTGAACATGAGCCACATCCAAGCCCCAGTTCTACTTCCGTCTAGTCCTGAGCAAGAGAATTAGTCTAAATCTTAGCTCCCTAAAAGCATGGATGCAGCAGACAATTCTTATGAGAGTATGGTAAAGCTTAAAGAAGACAATAGCAAAAAAGTTGTCAGTTCACCAATAATGACATAAAATTTAAAAGCGTGTACACTGTTATTGTTTCTTAGGGTGTATATTTTAGGTGGAACACTTAAGAAAGACAGATCCATCTTTTCACCAAGGGCTTCTACATGTTTTAAATTCAGTGAACTGAATCTGCATTTCTAGAAGACTCACAGAAGCAAAACATCTATAAAACAAGATTTTAAAAAAAAAAAAGTTTATTTTTCAAAGAACAACTCTTACCAGATGGCACTTCTTATCACTTTTGTTTTCCTCCACAAATCATAAATAGAACAATTATAGAAATGTCTGCATTTAGAGCTGGTAAGATGGTTTAGTGGTTCCGGTACTTGCTTCCAGGCCTGAGAACCTGAGCAAGTCTGCTGAGACCCACATAGTGGAAGGATCAGATTGACTCTGGTTTCCACACACACATAGACGCAATAATAGCAATAGTGATAACAATAATAATAAATGTAATAAAAACTTAAATCTTACTTGGTTGAGGTTCTGCTTCTATTGTACGGTTTGTCTGTCCTCCACTAATTTCAGGTAATCTAATGGGGCTGCTACTCTTTGGTCTGTTATCTAAAGCACTACCATGAAAACAAAGAAAAAAGTAGTTTGAAGATATTCAGTTAGAATAAAGCAAGCATCCTAATTCCTAAAATAAAGCCACCCACAATTCCAAAAATCTGATTCATAGTTTTGATAAAAACAAGTTATAAAAAATATTGAAATATTTACTAGGTTTAAAAAAAATACTAGAATGAGAAAAGTATACAGAAATGTACAAAACAATAGACTTTTATAAAATTTTCCCAAACACTGTTAGAACTATAATAAGTCAATTACAAAATTTCATCAATTTCATTTTTTTTACTTTAATTGCAAAGATAATTCAGACTAAATTTTATTAGGTCAGTAAAGCAGGAGAATTTATTTCAGTAAGGATAAGCCTATGGCAATTTCTGTCTAAAACACAGAACATGCTAAGTATTTATTTTCTAAATATTAGCTTTATTAGTACTATAGAACTTGACAAACACTTAAAATTATAAAGCCAAGCAGTAGCACAACTAACTTTACAGGTTACTGGTTTTTTTCTTTAATAAAACAGCTTCTTATTTTTATCATTAAAAAAATTGCAAATTTTAATCCACAGCACACAGGGACACATCATAACAATGTCAGTAACTGTGTCCTAAAGGCTGTGGAGACCTTACAAGACTTGAACTGTGCTGTCCAACAGCTAGCTGAAATGACTTATGTAATCCTAGGAGATTGTGTGCTAATGTATGCTGTCACAGAATAAAGTCCAAGGATACAGAAGATGATGACATAGCTCAATTTAGAGAGATTCTACTCAGTCATTATTCACCTATTTGCTGGAAGCCCTTCTTCAGCACTGCTCCACAGAGTTGCCTTGGACAATTCCTCTAAGGCATTTCGGTATTCTTTACAACTTGGGGCAGAAATAGGTTGAAAAGTGTTAAAACATTAAGCTCTTCTTTAACAATAAAACATAAGTTTTAAAATAAATTTTGTATTATAGAAGCATAATCATTGTAAATGTCCATAAAGATTTAACTCACCAGTTCATCAACTATATCCATTGTATAAGGGTTAGGATGTAACTTAGTGGGAGAGCTCTTGCTCTAAAGGCCCTGGATTTAATGGCCATCAACAACCCTCACACAACTCCCCCCAAAAAAGCCTACCTACAACTATCTAGATCAAATGAACAGATAAGTTAAAATAAGAAAGACTGAGACTTAGTACAACAGAGAGTAACGAATTTGAAAGTAATTTTCTATTTAAAGGATCTATTTTTTTTTTTTTTTTTTTTTTTTTTTTGGTTTTTTCGAGACAGGGTTTCTCTGTGGTTTTGGAGCCTGTCCTGGAACTAGCTCTTGTAGTTTTAAAAAAAATAAATAAATAACATTCCAAAGGTTTAAAATCTGATTCTTGGATGAGTAGCCTGGAATATTAGTATGCATCACTTTCCTAAAATATTGAAACATGAATTCAGATAGAACACTTGCTTCCTTAAGAATGGCTATATTTTTTGTGCCTTTAATATCTGCTGACAGACTGTGATTAATCAACTAGGTAAGAAGCAAGTATTATCTTCATAATGCTAAAGCATAAAGAAAAGAATCATTATACAGACTCTTAGAAAGTGAAAAACTCTCATCTACAGAAAACGCTAACCTCCACGAAGGTAGAAGCACATACAACTATACTATTTACTCTGGTATATCTATGCACCACATTTTGTTTATAACCAAATGTTTTTCAATAAATGTGACATTTTGTATAATCAATACATAAAAAGAATTTATTTTACACTTTACAATGAAAGGAAAACTTTAGTTAAAGCACCTCAGATCCTATTTAAATTAAATTCACCCACAGCCAAAATAGCTTTATGAATGAGATTCTTAGGTTTTTAGATATTAGATATAAATATTTTAAAGGTGCAATGCTTCTTTAAGATAAACAGCAAGTCCGTAAGCTATACATCCAAACATGTCTTTGGAACAAGGAGCAGAAATAGAATTCTCTAGGTAGAAAAATTTCAGGCAGTATGTGTGCGAAGTAGAAAGGAGATGATATTCAGATAATGCAAAACAGGTATGTTTCACTGTTATGTTAACAACTAAACCACAGAAAGAGTTACCAGGGCTATCAATCAGACAGCGTGGTCAGAATATTCAAGGGTTAGTAAATACTATGCCAAGTCACATTAGCTGTTAAGTATACTTGCTTCAAAGTCATGCCAAATCCCATTATTTGAGTAAAGGTTTTCAAATTAAAAAACAAACAAACAAAAATAAAAACCATCATGACTATAGAACATATATTTTTGCTTGCATTTAATCATTTTCCTTTATTTTATTGTAAACCCCTAAATAGGGTAATTAATAGACAGACACAGAAATTCACAGCTGTAATACAGGAAAGGCTTAGAGTACCTGAGTGCAAAGGCAATGATGGAGCTGGGCTCTTTCTCACAGACAGCGATGGGCACCCGTTCATGTTCATACATTAAATAGTGCTTATCTGGATCACTGCTCAATACAGTAAGAATATAATTAGAAGTCAAATATAAAAATGGATTAACACAGTACAATCCAATCTCAGGACAATTTTAAGGCAACCATATGCTAAGCAATAGAAGCATAATTAAGAAAGCCAAGATGCATGCAAATGCTGAGAAACTTCATCAACTAAACAACAAAAAGAAAAAAGAAATATTTATAAATCAATTGAAAAAAATTCAGTTTTTGTTTAGGGGCTGGAGATGTGGCTCAGCAGTTAAGAACACTAGGGCCAGGGCTTGATTCCTAGCTCCCACATGGTAGCTTTGCAACTGTTACTCCATTCCAGAGGGAATCCAATGCCCTCTTCTGGCCTCTCCAGGCACCAGGCATACACGTGATACACAGACGTACATGTAGGCAAAACACCCAGACACATAAAATTAAAAATAAATAGGTTTCAAATGGGGTACTAGAAATGGTTACTCCAAAGCTTTACTTACTGCCAAGATCTTGGTCAGACTAGTCTCAAAAAAGAGTATGCAATAAATAATCTAAAATACGGTATTCTATCCTAACCCTCAGAGAGGCCTCCTAAAAGTTATGTAGAAATAGTGCTTCTAGTTCCACAGCAATAACCTAAGAGTCACTCTGCTGCGATTACATGGAAACCAAGTGTTAACTTCAACCCAAATTTTGTTCCCCTGACTTCTGGTCTAACTCTACTGAGATCCGTTATGTAGAGTCCCTGACTTTGCTTAGATGCCATTTACTGACTATCCAATGTAGTGGAAAAACAACAGTGAGAAAAAGTTCTATTTATACATTTTCCGTATATGTACATGGTTAAAAACACACTGGTCAGAACAGAACCGGCATGTATGTTTGCAGTGCAGCGAGGTAAAGAAACAATTCTGCAAGTAAACACAACCACTTTCGGTGGTGAATGAGCAGGAGAATTATTATGGATGAATGTTAGGTCCTGTTTCCCAAGTCCCAGTGTAGTGGTGTAGGGAGACAGGGCCTTTAGATCAAGAACAATGATACCATACATGGGGTCAGTGTCCTTGCCATAAGGGACAAGTGAGCTCTCTCCACCATAAGAGGATGGCCTGGACGAGGACCCTCATCAGAATCGACCCTGCTGACAAAAATGTGATCCTCCAGCCTCCAGAGTTGTGAGAAATGCATCTGTATTGTTTATAAGCAAACCAGGATATGAAAATTCATCATAGCAGCCTACATGAAGACAAGAATTCTGACAACACACAGAGACTTAATTTAGTTAGTACTAGGGCACAGAAGGAGCATCCAGTAAAGTTTTCTTCAAAAAAGAACATAACTTCCTGGTTGAGAAAGAGGTAATAGGACTCGGCCATTGTTCCCAATAGGAAGAACAAACGACATTGAACAACTGCAACTGACCAAGTGAGCCTCTTATACAAGACACCATGTAGTGAATCCTACATGTCTGAGTATCTCTACTCTCTCTTCCCCAAGACCATGAGCCCCTAAGAGTAATGCTCTCCATCTGGGGACAAGAGAACAGCAATGAAAATTACTACTGAATAAAAACATAAGTAAAGGCTCATGGTTTGGATACACTTGTGCCAGTATAACAAAGGCGGCATCTGGGCCACATAGGCCAGCCAGCAGAAAAGCAAGCTTCTACAGCCGCCATCTGTTTCTCTCCAGTCTGAGCAAGTACAGCATTAAAAAAAATGAAACAAACAAACAAAAAAAAAAAAAAAACATGAAAATATACTTGGATCATTTTGCTCCTTATCAGTATCTGTTAAAATAAATTATACGGGTGGCAATGCACTCATATACAACCAGCAATATGTGTTTTAAAGATAAATGAATGTGTGCTGAGGAGATGACTCAAGTCCCTAGCACCATATAAGAAGCCAGCTATGATCACATATGCCTGTGATCTCCAGTACCAAGGGAGACAGAGACAAGATCACTGGGGTTCACTGGCCATCAGCTAGCTCTGGGTTCAGTGAGAGGCCCTGATATTGCATATACACATGGATATTGCATATACATATATACAAAGCGCCACATGGTCTTGAAATACTTACAAAGGAAATGGAATGGGATTATAGCTGTTTCCTGGAAGCAAATTTGCAAAGATGGCTTTCATGGTTGACTTCTCCTTCACCTGGCTGTCTGTGGATCCCAGCAAATGCCCGTCAAATACATCTAGGACGAAAAATAGTCTACTTACACATTAACATTCAGGAAAAATAAAAAGAGAAGCGTCTTTTGTTTTTCTCTTGAGACTATAGACAGGCATACTGAGCATCATGGATATAAACGATGGTTTTCACTTTCTAGCCCAAGAAAGTCGCTTAGACACTGAAATGGCAACAGTGAGGTAAACTCAGCACTAACGCCAAGAAACATGTTTAGTTCCTTACATCTGAAACTCAGAACATCCTGATCAGCGGTCTCTTATTGCCACAGGATCCACAGGGACTCCTGTCTGACTGTGCATGAACTGCCAGTGTTGTCTTTGCAGCACAGGAATGTGCATTCTAGCTATTGCACCTGCGCTGACAGCAACGGTAAACTGAGCCCAAGTTCAGAATTCAGTAAGTACTGCTTAACAGAAAACAAGAAAACAGAGAAGCAAGGCATGGGTTTTGTTATAATGTAAATGTCTTTTGGAAAGAAATGGCAAAATTTTCCTTCACTTACAAAGCAATAATAATACACTTTACACACCTTTAAAAATATGGCCCCAAAAGTAGAGAACAATGAGTAATACTGTTTTACTAGGACATTTACATACACACAGTGATGCATGTCAGTTCAGCTAATGGAGGAAGGGATAACATGAAAGGCTGTATTTAAAAAGATACTTTAAAATTAATTTATTATTTCTTTATGTGCATGAGTGTTTTGCCTGCATGTGTATATGTTTGACTGGTATCCAAGGAGGTGTCAGAAGAGGGAGTCAAATTCCCTGGAACTGGAATTATAAAGAGTCATGAGCTGCCATGTGGGTGCTGAGAATTGAGCCCAGGGTCCTCTGGAAGAGCAGCAGATACTCTTAACCAATGAGCCATCTCTCCAGCCCCTTAAAAAAGAACTTTAAACAAACATAAACAATTCTAAAGGAGAAGAAGCACCATATAAAAGAATTAGCCATGGTTTTCTTTTTCAGAGACACATAGGAAACAAGGAATCACCTCAGTCTTAGATTCAATGAAAGAGGGTAAACAGTGGCCGGAGCCTTACCTTCAGAGCCACTGGCTGTGTCGAGGTCGGAGGGCCCTCCCATTGGAGGCTCAGCCAGGGCCTCGGGAGGAGTTGGCAGCTGGAGATGGGTAGAGCTGGTGGAGCTCTGGCTGGACAGGGTTGTCAAGAAGCGATCCTCTAGAGAAACATCATCTTAGACAAGATGTCCATTTCCCCTGATGACACTTTTTTAAATGCCAAATCGTATTTCTACTTCTTAAAATGAAAATTATCTAGGTCATGTAACTTATGCCATAAAAATTGAAATAAAAATCCAGGAAGATTATATGATTTGGCCACAATCAAACCTTGGTGACAAAACTATAAATGCCTCCTGACTTCTACCTAACACAACACCTTTCCTTTATACTGCATTATATGCCTACATATGATCTGGCTTCACAGAGAATGGAATTAACAGCACTGTGGGGAAACTTAGATGTTTACTCTGACAGAGAAAAAAAAGTTATAATTATTACAGAAAAATGTAAACAAACAGTAAGTTCTATTCAACAGACAATCTATGTAAATTTCCCTACGGTTTCCAAAATGACACTAAGTTACTGAAGTATAAAAATTTTAGAAAGCAATTTAAGAACATAAAATATAAATTAACCATGCCAAGACAAACCCTAATAACAGAATGAGGAGGCTGCCTGACCAGCATAAGCAAAGAAGAAACTCAACGCCCGGTTTTATTCTTTTTCTCCTACTGGCAGCCCTTACTACCACTGTATGCATTTCTACATCCTAATTTATGTTCTTATAACACACTGTATGACACTCTCAGATCAGTAAGAATTATAAGTGTTTTATAAGGAGGAAAATTACTATGGACACATGTATTAGAAAATAATGCTTACATTAGCAGTTAAAAGCAACTTACAGAGTAAAATCTCTTTAAATGCAAGAGCAAGAGGTCACCAGACTACAAATAAAGACCAACCTTTTTCTCCATTGTGAAGTCCTGGAGAAATATTCCTTGGAGATGTGTCCATTGCACTTATCTGAAGAGAAATAAATACGCTATTTTTAAGGATATATTTTTGTAAAAAAAAAAAAAAAATCACACTTTAAAAGTAGTCTAATGATGTGGGAGAGTCTTCTGATTTATGTTAATAAAGAAAGTTAATTAAGAAACTGCCTTGGCCCTTTGATAGGACAGAAAATTAGGTAGGCAGAGTAAACAGAACAGAATGCTGGGAAGAAGAGAAGTGAGGCAGACGCCATGCCTCTCCTCTCCAGGCAGACGCAATGGAGCCAGCCGCCAGGTCAGACATGCTGAATCTTTCCTGGTAAGCCACCACCTCGTGGTGCTACACACATTATTAGAAATGGGTTAAATGGGTTAAGGAAGATGTGAGAATTAGCCAATAAGAGGCTGAAACTAATGGACCAGGCAGTGTTTAAAATGAATACAGTTTCTGTGTAATTATTTTGGGTAAAGCTAGCCATGTGGGAACCGGGCAGGATAAAAAGCAGGCCTGCTTGCCTCATCACTACAGTCTAACCTAGTGAATCTTGAAATTTTTGAACTCAAGACATGTTTCCACTAAAATATTATGTCTTTATAATTTAAAGTGGCTCCTGCCATTTTAATTAATTAAGTCTGAGTACATTCCTAAGTATGTATTTATTGGTTCACTTAGAAATAACACCATTACACAGAAACATAAATATAAAAGCTAGTTGAAGCAGAATAAAGCTATTTTCCAAAATTAAAAAAAAAAAAAACCACTAATGAAGAAGTGTCACTGTTTTACATTTTCAGAACTATCTTAGATGTCTGGCTAACTAGAAGACAGCTAGATTCTATATCCTGCAGACATGGACCCATGACTTTGAGAATATTGCTCTAAATAGTAGCTCACACCTTGGCATGGACACATCTAGGAACACTAGGTAGTCTAGTAAGCCCACTCCTCTCCTAACAGCCATCTACTGAACCGTCTATGTCCTATTACCCATGGACAACATGAGCAGGACTACAAGCCCTTATAAGTCATTTCATGTCAGTAGTGGCTACCATATGAGAGATTTTTTGTGTCATTTCAATAAAATAACCCACCACTATTACTCCATCACCAAACTCTGCCTTCTTTACGCTATTCTACAATCTTTTTAGGGTAACTAAATTCTTTTGGGTTCATGTGTTTTCTATCAGTATCTTTTTAAACAGGCAAATGTTTCTATGAGACATTAACTATGGCTGTTGTTCACAAGTGAATGCCATATAAGCTAGGAAAACATGTAAAGAAAAATAGGTACTCAAAACCATTTGCCAAAAGGCAGTGTAACAGAATTTCAAGTCAATTTTCAACTTTCCAAAAGCAGATCACTTCATGGGTGATAGTGTATTTCTTTCTTTTTTAAAGATTTTTATTTATTTTTATGTGCACTAGATACATTTTTATGTTCACTTTTATGTAAACTAAAGTTACAGACAGCTGTGAGCTGTCATGTGGGTGCTGGGAATTGAACCCGGGCCCTCTGGAAGAGCAGCCAGTGCTCTTAACTGCTCAGCCATCATTCCAACTGTTATTCTTATCTAAATATTAAGAGGAAATACAATTATTAAATAGTCACTTAACAGACAAAAAGAAATAATCACTCAGTTTTCTAAAATGATTTGCAGTATGTGGAGCCATCACTCCATGACACTAACAGTCTGGTGACGTGAAAAGAACCCTGTAAGGTCAGGATACAAGGAAGCAGCATGACAGGCAGAATTCTAAAGGTCCCCAAAATGTTGAGCCTCTGGTGTATACACCCTTATTCCAATTACTCTAACAAACAGAAGTCTAAGTATTGCTGTGAACGAATTTTGCAAATATAATGGTGCCAAGTTAACTGACCACAAAACGAAGAGAAATCCAGATACAAGTGCATTAAGCATAAAAATCTAAAGCTGTGTAAGTCAGAGATAAACAAAGTGATTTAAAGCTCAAGAGGAGCTGGACCAGCATGGAAGGCCTAGAAGATGGAACAGATTGCTGGGCAGGGAATGTAAGCATCAACAGCCACCAATAGAAGATTGGTCACCATAGGAACCAAATCCTGTCAACAACCTAAAGGAGCTTGGAAGAACATGCTGACCCTCAAAAATGAGAGAAACCCTGGCCGAGCCCTTAATTTTAGCTCTGTGGGATCTTGAATAAAGAACCCAGTCATATACAGCACTATGAAACAGTTAAGTCCGCACTAAGTTTGTTTTCAGCAAAAGAAAGCAATCAGTTGGGAAGCGAGTGGTCCAGGGAAGACGGCTTAAGAAGAACTTCTCATTCAAGCACAGAAATCAAACACCCAAAACTACCCAGTAAGAAAAGTGCCCTAGGGCTCAAGAGAAGGCTTAACAGTTAGGGGCACCTGCTGTTCTTCCAAAAGACCTAAACTTGGTTAACAGCACCCACATGACGGCTCAGTCACCTGTAACTCCAATTCCATGGGATCCGACGCCCTCTTCTTGTTCTGCGGGCTCTAGATACATATGAGGTGCATACACAGACATGCAGACAAAACACTTATGCATATAAAAGTAAACAAATATATTTTTAAAAGAAAGGAAAATGAAAAATTAGAACTCTATTATATACGCTGAGAACCTACAAGTTTCCTCTGTAATATCCTCAATGGCGTATCAGGGACAGTAGCCTTTGACAAATACTTCAAATAAATTAATTATAATATATCATTTTAATTGAGGTTAGTATATAAAAGTAATCCAGATCATATTTCCCTGAAAATACACCAACATGACAGCAAACTTTATGCATTAAACTACCACTCCTAACGTGTTAGAAACGGAACTAACTATGTGTTTATCAATGAAACAGTAAAGACAAAGCTACACTTTATTATTACCTTGCTTTCTTCACCTTGTCTCAGTCTTCCAGGACTGGGAGGAACCGAAGGCCTCTTTCTACCTTTTTCCTGCTGGAAAAGGTCCTGCAGCCTACAGTCACAGGCAGAAAGGACATGGTTTTGTTTCCAGTTTATACTTACAAACGTTCTCTTGAAACGGACTTTAAAGGTGTATGGAGCCACTACTGAATTCTTACACTAGCCAATGATGTTTCATGGGACAACGATCCACTCAATCTCACTCAGTAGCACACATTTTAAACAGCAAAGAGGGCTGTTTCCTTTTGTTTTGTTTGTTTTTATCTTAACAAACTATGTAAAGGCTGCAATATGTTTTAAAGGATGAAGAAAACAAAAATCAAAAAATCTTTATAACTAAAAAAAATCTATAAAATTAATAGAACTTTAAATTTAAAATATTGTCACTGGGAATTTAGCTAAGTGGTAGAGTATTGCCTAGCAAATGTAAGGCCTTGGATTTAATTTCCAGAACCAGAAAACGAGTTTTGAAATATCATGGCAGAAGAAACTTGGTAGCAGTGCCAAGAAGGCCCCGACAAAGCCTTACCTGCTGTTCCACGCTTGCAGCACCTCACAGAGACTCTGCTTCTTGGCTATGAGTGACTCAAAGACGGACTGCAGCTGCTGAGGGGTATCCACAGAGGAGGACATAAGCCTTGCTTGCATCTTCTCAGTCCAGTTCTTGAACTCACCCTCCTCCATCTGGAAAGCAATAGATTCAAGTTCAATAAGCTGAGACACCACAGAGACAAAGGGATTTCCAGCAAATCAGCAACTTCAGTATTGTCTATAAAAGAAACAAATTACCTCTTTTTGTGCAAAGATATCTTCCATTTTTTCCTCTCTTGTTTTGCTAAATGTATCCGTTTTCAAGGATGCAAGCCTTTCATCAACAGCTTGGTATACCTGTGAAACTCTAAAAATGGGGAGGGTACCACGTTAGAGGAGTTAAAATCAAACCACTTCATAGAAATTAGAAGAAAAGGTATTTTATATAAAACTATCAATAAAACAAGCTACCTTATCAATAATCACATGGAAATTTTGCAAAGCAAAGCAACAAAGCCTCAAAGGAATTACTTCAAAATTTTAAGTTGTCACTTATGTTTTGGAGAGGTTTTCCTGTATTATTTGAACTTTTTCATTTTACACTGAGCACACACTACATATATGGGTAAACCTGACAACTAAATCAGCAATGGGTTACAAACACGACAAAGCAAACATGAATGACCAAAGACAATGAAACTTACTTCTGAAAAAAGTCCTTGAGGTCCTGGAGAAGGGATACTTTCAGCGGGGCTTGACGTTTAATAAATATTTTTGGTAGTGGAACACACACTTCAAGAAGACGAATAGAAGAATAACTGAGGGAAAAAAAAAAACAGTAACAGAAGAAAATAAAAATATTTTAATAATTTATAAAGGGCATACATATATTCAAATGAGCATAAGAGAAAAATAAAGTTTTCTATAAAATCAAGTTTCATAAAGACAAAAAATAAATAAATAAAGGTAACTTTCAGCCACCAGAGATATCTTCCCCAATACTGAGAGGATTTTTTTTTTATCCTTGCACTGTGATGCCATTATTATTATTCCTCTGAGGACCATCTGCTACAAAAACAGCAATGATTTACTGTAAACTTTCTAGCTCTTAGGGTTCTTCATGAGTCTTCTTGTCCATCCTACCTGAGGTATTGACTAAGAAATGCTGCATCCACCCTACACCCTACGTTTATGGTTAAAAGGCCCTGCTTTAGAAAGGAAATACATTCTAATTAATAAATATTTCGTGAGTATATTGTGTGTGAAACACTGTTCTAAGTACCAAGAATATAGCACCAAAATTTCTATCCTCCTAATTCTAGAATAAGATGTGGGTAATAAACAAACTGTAAATATCTAAGATATTTTTATCAGAGCACTACAGCAAAAAAGTAATAAAGCAAGAACGAAGGAGGAAGTACTTGGCAGGTAAAATGTGAACAGAGAGCTATGTAAGAAAACAGCAGGTGATAATGTATAAGATCTCTCTGCCTTCTTACCTGAAGGATGCCACCATCTGGTTATAAGAGAAATATTGGTGATAATCATGGTGGATAGAGTGACCACACGGCTCAGCATTGGCTCTGCGTGTGTATTGATGCCCATAAAACCGAAGTTCAAGGTACTTTGCAAATGACATAGACCAGGATTCATTTGAAAGAGCAACAACTGGTGTTACCTGGAGTTCAGAAAGGAAAACACTTAATAAATTACATGCTGAAAATCTCGTTTTTTGAAAGATGTATTTTCTATTTTCCAAAACAAACAACATATTCTAACTGAGGGAGAAAAATTGGGGAAAAAACAAAATATTCAAAATGGATTTGAGCTGGGATGGTGTAGGAGGTCCTTCTGTCTATGTGTTGCTTGTATTGGTTAATGAATAAAGAAACTGTCTTGGCCTGATAGGCCAGAACTTAGGTAGGCAGAGAAGAGAGAACTAAATTCTGGAAGAAAGAAAACAGAAGAGAGAGACACCATGGAGCCGCCAAAATCAGACATGCTGAATCTTTCCTGGTAAACCACTGCCACATAGATTAATAAAAATGGGATAAATCAAGGTGTAAGAGTTAGCCAATAAGATGTTAGAGCTAATAGGCCAAGCAGTGATTTAATGAACACAGTTTCTGTGTCGTTACTTCGGGGCTAAGCTAGCTGGGCAGCCGGGACAAACAAGCAGCCCTCCCAACAACACTGGGAGGGTGAGGAGGATAGCTCTAATAACCCCTCACACACCATCAATTTGCCAGTAGACTCTTACTTTCTTTACAACCTTTACATGCCCATGGGGTAGGTCTCATACTAACTGTGACTAACAGGCATCTGATATAGACAGGTCTCCCTTATTTGCATGATGCTCTGCTGAACATTCTTGCAAACACACTCAAAAGAGACGTATTTGTTCCTTTATTTTTTTTTAAGATTTATTGATTATGTACACAGTATTCTCAGTACTCTGCCTGCAGGCCAGAAGAAGGCACCAGATCTCATTACAGATGGTTGTGAGCCACCATGTGGTTGCTGGGAATTGAACTCAGGACCTTTGGAAGAGCAGGCAATGCTCTTAACCACTNCTCGAGGGCTGGGATTAAGGGTGTGCACCACCAGCCTCAAGTGGTTTATAATCCTTCCATGTCCTTCTGAACTTCCAAGGCAAAGGAACACTGGCTCAGAGGGCAAAATGGGGCAGAGGTGGGTTGTTATATGGATACAAAGTGCCTCCTAAAATGTTTGTGGGTTGAAAACTTGGTCCCCAGTTAATGGATCCAATCATCAAGAGGAGATTGGAACATGTAACCCTCATCAGTAGATTTAACCATTTTAAATCCTAACTTCCTGAGGTGGCAGCCCTTAGGGACTGTATCCTTTAATTTTTTTTTTGTTTGTTTTTCAAGACAGGGTTTCTCTGTGGTTTTGGAGCCTGTCCTGGAACTAGCTCTTGTAGACCAAGCTGGTCTCAAACTCACAGAGATCCGCCTGCCTCTGCCTCCCAGGTGCTGGGATTAAAGGCGTGAGCCACCACCTCCGGGCTCCAGCCCTTTTTTTTAAAGATTTATTTATTATGTGTACGGCATTCCTTCCATGTGTGCCTGCATGCCAGAATGAAGTGCCAGATCTCATCATAGATGGCTGTGAGCCACCATGTGGTTGCTGAGAATTGAACTCAGGATTTCTGGAAGAGCAGTCAGTGCTCTTAACCATTGAGCCATCTCTCCAGCTCATATTTGTTCCTTTAGAATAAATCAGTAAGGGTGGGCAATGACGGATCAAAGGGCAATGGTTTTTTGTCAAATCAGGTATATTCATTTACACATTTTGAATAACAGTAACTAAGAATACTAATTCCCTCACTTTCCTACCAATCCTATGAATTATTCATCTCTGAAATGTTTTTTAATGCATTTTACTTGTTTCATTTATATTTGGCTTCATTTATGCTTCAACTAGTTAATAAATAAATATATTTGCATATTTAACTGACCATTTGTATTAATTGCTTTGTCATGACCTTTGCCCACTTTTTCTACTACTGTGGCTTACAAAATTTAACATTAAATTTTTCTTGTACTAGAAGTTTTTCTTTTGTGTATATGTTAACAAAAACTCTTTTCTTTTCTAGCATAACCCCATAAGACTTACAAAAAATCTTAAATGCATAAACTAAAGCATGAAAAACAAGACCAAAATTTAACTACTGACTTAATTCAACAATCAATCTACAACAGTGTTTCTCAACCTGTTGGTCACAACCTCCTTGAAGGTCAAATAACCCTTTCACAAGGGTTGCCTTAGACCACTGGAAAGCACAGATACTTACATTACAATTCATAACAGTATCAAACTTATATTTTGAAGTGGTGACAAAAATCATTTCATGGCTGGAGGTCACCACAATATGAGAAATTGTATTAGAGGTAAGAACCACTGATCTACCAGCATTTTGGAAGAGGACCTAAAGGTCTATGGTATGAGAATGATGCTAGGGCCTAGTTTAATGGTAAATAAAGCACTTGCCTAGCGTGTTCTCCACTAACACACACAAGAAAGTACGGAAGACTTGATCATTACTATGAATCTCCGCAGGCCGGCATGCTCCCAGCACATGAAGAACACTACTGTCACCATCCAAGTGCTATACTAACAGACTAACAGACACTGCTCTTTTATCTACAATCCTCATAAAGCTTTCCAAGCACACTGAAAAATAAATCAAGATAATAATGAAGGCAGTTTTGATACATATATGCTGTAATATGAGTGAATAGTATATGTTTAAAATGTTATACGAACTGGAGCTGGCTCGGCAGTTAAGAGGACAGGCTGCTCTTCCACAGAGTCCAGGTTTGATCCCCCAGTGTCTCACAACCATTTTAACTACAGTTTCTGATCTTCTTAGGAAATATGCATATACATGCTACACAAACATACATTCAGGCAAATATGCATGCATGTAAAATAAAAGTAAATGAAAACAACAAACACACCAAAAAAAAAAAAAAAAAAAAAACCATAAGACTATGGCTGGAAAGATACCTCAGCAATTAAGAACACTTGCAGCCCTTGCAGAGAACCCCAGTTCAATTCCCACATTAGGTAACAAACAACCACCTGTAAGAACAGTTCCAAGCGATCTAAAGTCCTCATTAGCCTACTCAGGTACTTTCACACACAGTACACATACGTACAGTTGGGCACACACATATACAAATAAAATTAAATAAACCTTAAACCTACACCTATGCCACTACTCTAAAAATGATTGAATCGATTTAATAGAAAACAAACAACAAAAATCACAATACTGATATCAAATAATTCCCTCAGAGATTGAAAAGATAGTTCAAAGAAATTAAATATGATTCCATGTCATTTTCTAATATTATACAAAAGTCTATACAGGTCATTGTCAACAAAGCCTCATCTACATGTTTTTAGAAGAGATGTTAATAAAGCTCAGATTTTCTAGGAAAATAGCCTAAAATACTATCGTTACTGCTTTATAAGTCTGTCTCCTTCTTTACAAGCAATTTACATTCATTCTCTTTCTATGCCTAAAATGCAACACAGTTCCTAGAACACAGATGGGATTAAGTGTCAGCTAAATTAACAAAAATAACGGAATATTTTCAAAATATAATTTCAATATATTATACTAGAAAAAAGTATACATAAATCATTATATATAGGGTTTTTCAAGACAGGGTTTCTTTGTGTAGACCAGGCTGGCCTCAAACTCAAAGATCCGACTGCTCCTGCCTCCCAAGTTCCAGGATTAAAGGCGTGCGCCACCACTGCCCGGCTAATGACATTCTTTAAGTAAAGTTTTCTAAACTATTAGGTTAAACATATAGCACAAGAAGGTATATAAATAAGATCATGACAAATAACAAAGCTCAAAATACTATTGATTATCTATGCCCCAAAGCACCTCACAAATAGAAAGAAACATTCCAGCAGCAGCACATACTTGTTTGCAGATTCTGCACCAGGAATAAGTGAGAATTGTATGTTGATATCCAGGCACCGGAGAATCCAGCTCCTTCAGGATTATCTGCACACAGCCTTGGCCGTGAACAAAGCGTCGAATGTGATGCACCATGGGGGTATCACAGAACATGCTAGGACACTGGTAAGACGGCCTGTGATAAACAAGAGAATCCTTCTCACATTAAGCATGAAACAGAGGATCACATATACCAAGTACTGAATAATCAGAGCCATGACCAAGCAAGTGACACACCACCTCCAGAGGAATGACCAACAGTGGACAATCTCAAAAGGACACATGGGCCCTGAGCTGCAGCTGAACATTCTGTCTTAACCATAAAGCATTTGTCATCTGTCCATTTGTCAAACACCTTCTAATGCCCAGTGTCAAGCAACAGTAAAACCCAGACATTTTTAAGGACTGTACTTCCTGTGGAAGAAGTTGGTAACATTAAATTACTCGTCCCACACTGAGTAACTTAACTGGTAACAACAGTGAATCATAAACTGATGTCAAGCTGGTCCTAAGTCTTCCCTGTTTTTCAGGGGAAAGGGGAAAGGGGAAAGGGGAAAGGGGAAAGGGGCAGGGCGGGGAAGGGAAGGGGAGGGAAGGGAAGGGAGAGGAAGGGAAGGAAAGAGGAAGGGAAAAGGGAAGGGGAAGGGGAGGGGAGGGGAGGGGA